AAATTAATAAAAATAGAATTAATAAAAATAAATTAATAAAATAAATTAATAAAAATGAATTAATAAAAATAAAATTAATAAAATAAATTAATAAAAATAAAATGAATAAAAATATAATTAATAAAATAAAATTAATAAAAATAAATTAATAAAATAAATTAATAAAAATAAAATTAATAAAAATAAATGAATAAAAATAAAATTAATAAAAATAAAATTAATAAAAATAGAATTAATAAAAACAAATTAATAAAATAAATTAATAAAAATAAAATTAATAAAAATAAATGAATAAAAATAAAATTAATAAAAATAAAATTAATAAAAATAGAATTAATAAAAACAAATTAATAAAATAAATTAATAAAAATAAAATTAATAAAAATAAATAAATAAATATTTTCTTACTGTATACTACTAAATTAGGTACTGTTAAACTATATTAGGGACTCCCCCAACTTCATAAAATAATATAATGTTTGATAAATAATGGCGTTGTTTTATTTCACACAGGCGTCAAAGAAATATTCATATATTTTACAATTTATTCGTTATCAATTCGTCCAAGTCACCGCACATCTTAAATATTTTCGAGAGATTTTGAACTTTTTGTGGTGGAAATGTAGATTTAAACTATTATAATGTAACTAAACATTTAAATATATTTAAAAGTAAAAATGATCGAATCTTGAGGGACATAAGGACCCCCGCACACTGTTTCTACCTTATATAATTGTACAAAATATATGTTATTATTCTGCGACCTGGATATGATGCCGTCGTCGTTTGAGTTAGCGTATTTTTTGCGTTGAGCAAAAGAACTCCCGTATACTGTACTACTGTAGTATGATTAGTATGTACAACACTATTTATATCTATATAATTGTATAAATATGTTATTATTCTACGACCTGGATATGCCATCGTCGTTTGTGCTATAAGCATATTTTTTTGTGTTGCGCGCTCGGGAACAAAAAATATGCCCCTACTTTACACGGGTAGCAAATTGTCTGTGCCAATCAATTTTAATTTTGATATCTTGAGTGCAGACTCCATAACGAGGAACTTCTTTCTTCATCTAAACCTGAATTGAAAAAATCGAAATTTTTTATAAAAATTACTTGAGTAGAATGAAATGTGTGAGTAAATGTTTATTGTTGCCTTACACATTTGTCTTGTGTTTATTTTGAAATTATTAGAATTGTGAATCGTCTCCGATGAGTGACGACGATTAGCTTTTGCCAGAGATGATAGATATTATAATATAATATTTTGCTGTCAGTTTTCGAGTTTTTGAATTCTTTGGATGACACGATGCGTTTTTTATTTCAGATTCCGAAACAGAATATTATTCGGAGTGTTTAAATCTATGCAATTCAGAACACGGAACTCTGCGTATAGGCCATTTAGATACATTACTTTCGCGAATCCATTTTTTTGTCCGGCATCTCACAAGTCACAATATTGTTTTTAGTCTTAACGGTTTAATTATAACTTAATATAAAACTCTAGAAGTGTTGAGACATGAAAAAAATTCAAAATTAGGCTTTGAAATTTACAGAAGTAATAAAAAAATGGATACCTTAATCGTGAATATAATATTCTCTCTGGGCTCGGCATTAATATTTTATTAAACAATATTATTCTATAATAGTGTGCAGTATTTTCTAAAATATTGTGTGATTATATTATACTACTACACTATAGTGTAATAAATAAAATTGACAATAACAGGTATTGTACCTATATAATTATTTCAAAATAATATATTATTTAATTTATTGTTTTAAATAATTTTTAGATATATATTATCAGGAACAGTTTCTAATGGACATGACCATTATGTAACGTATGTACGCCGTGTAAATAGATGAGAAGTACACAATAATTTGGCAAAAAAAATTAAAAGTACCCCTAGTTCAACCAAAATAAAACCACAAGTTATTTTATATGTGAAAGAGTAAAAAAAAAGATATGTAAATTGGTACAAAAGTCAACAATAGTAACATTTTTTTTAATTGAACAAAAAGACAAAAGGGTTATATTTTATTATTTTTAAATTAAGCGTTTGTTACAAGATAAATAAAAGTAATAAGAACAATAATTAATTAAATCAATTTTATTTTTTTAAATTTTCCTTTTACCAATATTTCTATTATAGTGACATGACTCCAGGATCCGGCACCAAAATGAGAAAAAGTCCGCATAGGATTGAAACAGTCTGGTAGCAAAAAATGTTTTCAATGTATCGACCTGACGTTTTATAATAAATGACGAGAACCATGAACCACGATTTCTAACTTTAATAATTAAAAATTAATAAAGTAAATTTAAAATGAATACAATTTGAAGATCTGAAAAACATAATCTATTTATTAACAAAACAAAATAAAAATTGTTATTATTTAAGGTGAGCTCTTATTTGATGGCCATGAGCTTCAATAATCCATGTTATGTTCCTACAAATATAGAGTAAAAAGAATTAATAAATTAATTTAAAAAAATTAATTATTAATTTATGTTTATTTTAATATTACCATGCAATAATATTATAAGGGTAAGAAACAATTATTTTTATTTTTATGCTCAATTACACTTATATTAAATAGACAAATAGTAGCCCGATATATTATGTAAAATACTTCTGTAAGTAGTATATTTCAATTGAGTATTACATAATATAATTTTAAATTATACTATAAACTATAAATACGTATAAATACCAATAATTGTTTTGATTTTTGGACTAGAAATTAGAAATAAGTTAGCGGCTATTTGCAAAATAGCAACATTTTTCTTCTTTTTTGATTCTTAAAATGCATTTGCCTGAGGGCGCCCATACTCCCCTTTACATTTTTTTTTACTATATTTTTACTTTCGTTCATTTCTGTGTTAACCTTTTCATTTCAATTTTGATAACCAGGCTGGTACCCTTTAAATTGTCATTATTTATTAAATAATTAATTTGAATAGCAATATTTCAATTGATTTAAAACTGCAGTTTTTTTAGTTTTTACCTAATGTACATTTTTTCCCTTTTTTGATTCTTAACATGCTTTTGCCTATGGGTGCCTGAGGCCAAAATTATATCAAGGAAGAGCATATTATTTGGAGTTGGGTTTCTAGTACTGAGTTTATTTAGTAGAATAATCTTTGGAAGAATGGGGTTTGTCGCATGTGTTAACTTATTTAATCAGAACTAATAAATATATTGGTTGTTTTATAGCATGATTATTATAACAAAATAATACAATTTAAATGACTTACATTAAAATATAAAATTACTGTTAAACTTGGACAGATTGTAAGCAGACTTCAATCAAATGTTTGAAAAATAATATAAAATTGTTAAATTAAATTAGTTAAAAGAATTACAAAATTTAAAATTAAGCGGGCAGCCGGCAACGACACGTAATTTACTTTTCTCACAGAAAGCGCTTGCTGTAATTTCCAGCACCATGAAGAACTCAATGTGGTACTCACCTTATCCTATGCCGATGGGCAACCTGTATATCTTAAATCGTGGCGGAACCCCTAAGTGAGATCAGCAAAACCCTATTGTTAAGCTTAGGGAACACAATTTAGAAACACTGGTATGAGGAACAGCGCTTGTTGGAGCAAACAACCAGATAGCGCTAACGAGGTTTAAAAAAAATCGAAACTTTTTGAAATTTGACATAGAAGAGAATAGGCGTAAAGATGGCGCTACTGTTCCCTTCAACTTCTTTATTGTCTTTGGATTCAATTTAGTTTAAATATTTTGTTTATTAAAGGCGCCTTCGTAGCCGCCTGCTCACCGAAAAATATGCGAAAAGTGATAATTGATAACAATGGTGAACACACTTTCCGGGTAGGATTCAACCACGATTTAAGAATTAAGGCCGATATTTTAATTTTAAGTGAAATCTATCTCTTTACTTGTTCATTATGGTAAGTCACCGACTTAGTTGTTTTTACTTTTTCTGTATTTAAATGGGCATTTAATTTAAATATTTTATTATTTATGTTTTTTTTAAATTTTGTTATTCAGAAACCTTTAATGTTGCAAGGGCACGAGCGTGCCATTACTCAAATTAAATACAACAGAGAGGGTGATTTATTGTTCTCGTCTGCTAAGGACGTAACACCAAACGTTTGGTATTCTTTGAACGGAGAGCGTCTTGGTACGTACATTGGCCATACTGGAGCTGTATGGTGTATTGACGTCGATTGGAAAACCACAAAATTTTTGTCCGGAGCTGCTGACAACACCTTAAGGCTTTGGGATGTTGCTACCGGTAATTACATTGGAACATTCATTTTATACCTTTAAAGTAGGTAAATAATTTTAAAATGTATTTGCAGGTGTGGAAATTGGTAATATTAGTAGTAATTCTGCTGTGCGTACATGCTCATTCAGCTATTCAGCTGATCTCGCCAGCTACTCAACAGATCAGGCTATGAAACAAGATTGTGAAATTTTTATAGTGGATGCTCGAGATGATGAATCTTTTAGTAAGTAATTTTTCTAGTTATTATTTTTTACATATCAAAAATATTACAATTGAAGTTTGAACTGCACAAATTAAAGTAAATAACTAAATTTTTTATTTTTATTTTCAATTTTCCAAAAAATTTACTCAAACTAATTCAATAATTTACAATAAAACAATTGTTAGTTAGGTATAGTAACATGTAAAAATTATAGTAAAATATAGATAAATCAATAAAAAAATGTATTATTTTAGATGGTTTATAATTTACAACAATTAATGTGAAGTCAAGTTTGAACACTAGAGACGTTTCTGTATTTTACTAATTTAAACGTATCTATTAAATTGACATATATTTTACCTCTTCAATCAATAATTAATCATTATGATTTACATTATAGAAAGCAGCGCCCCAATTTTGAGAATGACTGTGCCAGATTCCAAAGTGACATCTTTAATTTGGGGTACATTGGACCATACAATCATTACTGGACATGAAGATGGTGCTATTACTCAGTGGGATTTAAGAGTATGTATAATCTATATTCTGCAAGAAATAAATTTATATTAAATATTGCCATATGCTAATATATATTTTATACATATTACACCATGAGGTCTTGATAACTTGAATGAAGTGGATTAACAGTAAATTCTCCCTAAATAACTATATTATAAGTTTGGTTAAAGTGGCACAAAATGGCAAGGGGTTTTTGTGATTCATACTTTATTTTGAGCTTTCTTTGTAATGTTTTTCTGTACCAAAATTCATTAATATAGACTGTATATATTATAGACTGGAAAGAGCATAGAATCTGTTAAAGACCACCAAGGATCGATCAACGACATGCAAAAGAACCGACAAGGTACTATGTTCGTTACTGCATCAAAAGACAAAACCTCAAAGTTATTTGATGTTGATGATTTATCGGTCCACAAAGTTTATGTGACTGAACGGCCCGTCAACAGTGCTTCGCTTTCACCTACATATGATCATGTAAGTTTATATTTTATAAGAATTTTCAACATATTACATTGAAAATTCAATATTGTTTGTTTTATTAAGGTGGTGTTGGGTGGTGGTCAAGATGCTATGGATGTAACAACAACAGCAGCACAAGCAGGAAAATTCGATGCCCGATTCTTTCATGTAATTTTTGAAGAAGAATTTGCAAGAGTAAAAGGTCATTTCGGTCCAATAAATTCTTTAGCTTTCCATCCAGATGGTGAAAGTTTCAGTACTGGCGGAGAAGATGGTTTCATTAGGGTACAATCATTTGATCCAACTTACAAAGAATTTAGATTTGACTATTGATTATTTTTTCTACTGTCTGTCAATAATTAAAAAACAAAAAAAAATTTCTAATAAAATATTTAACATCAACTTTTTATAAATTTATCCTAGTACAACCAATGTTACTGGATTTGATCAGTTAGTAAACCTTATTTTCTTTTAAATCCTTTTATAGTTGTATTACTCAATTTGTGTTACATTTTACTGTACATATCATTTTATCAACTTTTACTTTTAATTTTACAGTAAACCTATCAAGTAAAATATATTTTTCAAATATTATCAGGTTGCCTTACTAGCATTTGTTGTCTCCATCTTACAAGTTAATAACCCAGCAGTTTATATTCAGCTTCATGCCTTCATTAGTTTTAATATTAGTGTGAATTGACCACTTATCAAACTAATGGTATCAATTATAAGGTATACCAGAGGTATTCAAACTTTTTCATCCCACGGCTCCTTTGAGTCTTCACAAAATATTGACGGCTCTCAAATTATAAATGACAAAAAAATCAATGTTTATATGAATGTAATTTATATTTTATAATTTATACTAATTATTTATTTACCATATCACATATATAAAAAAAATTAAAGCTATATTTAGCTAATGATTATTGTAGACAATTCAACGTTTCCCAACCGGTGTGCCTCCATGATAATAATGAACGTTTTTTTAAAAAATATTTAGTGGTTTTCAATTATAGGACACGGGTCTCTTCAAAAACTTCTGCAACACCCCTGAGTGCCAAAGCGCACAGTTTGAATACCTCTGAGCTATACTTTATTGGGGATGCTTTTTTAATATTTTTACTTTGATAGAGTAATGAGCACTTTTAAACTATAATATTTTACTTTTTTTTCACTTGTTTTAAACTTACAGTGAAGAAATAAAAAACAAACAATGTTGTCACTACCTTCAAGCTTATTAATTATTGGTCAATTCTAAGTAGTATTTAAAATAACAAGGTTGAACAAAATTTTGATATGTTATGCACATGAGAGATTTAGATAACAGAATATGCTGGTGTATAGATTTGGTATGTTATAAGAAAACGCTTCGGTTATAATTATTTTTCGTAGAATACATTTTGTAGATTACAATGAATTGCAGAATATCCACTCTGTCGTTTGACAATAAGTGTTAAAAAATAAGATAGGTATCTGATTTGAACTATTTTGACGTTTCAATTGTTATATTAAAAAGATATTCTATCCCTACCGATAATACAGATTAATGCTATATGAACCTAATTTCTTGTTACATTTTCTATCTCCATACTTATGTAATTCTCTGATTCTCTTTTTCTACTTCACATCAATCTCATGTAAAATGATAGCCAATACATCAAAGTGTTTTTTTATAAAATGCATTCATCATTATTAACTTGGTGGTGAAATAATTAATTTTACAAAAATGTATTTTCAATAAAAACATGTACAAGCAACATAGTTTCAATAGAAGCATATGGCCAATAATTAAACTGAGAAAACAGCCCCTCAATTATAAATATCTTATCAAAATGTCATAAAGGTAATGTTGATAAAACTCAACTAATCCACATCGTAATATTGTATAATATAACTCCAATAAAAAAAATTTGATAATATTAAAAACTTTTTTGGTGGGTTAAATTAACTATAGGTTAATTTCAGATGGGTTGGATTATTTTGGTGTTTTAGAAAAAAAGTATCTAATGTTTGAATGCAAAATCTTGACTTAGACTCCATTTGTGTTGAAATAAAGTAGGTAACCTACAATTTCTTTTCTAACAGAAAACTAACCAAATTCAACCCATCTGAAACTAGCCAATAGTTTATCTAAGTTTGTTTAACTTGTTGAAGAATGTCTCAAGTTTTTTTCATTGGTGTAGGGTATTATGTTTAGGTACAGTAAATAAAAACATAGTGGTGAAAAGTTTTCTACAAATAATAATTTTTGAATTACATTAACATAACTCAAATCGTTATATTTTGTTTAAATATCATACTTAGTCGAATTTTGAGCTTGAAATCTCTACTCAAATATTGTGCTTTTATATTTTTGAGATGTTAAAAGTTGAAAGGTAGGAACAACGGTATGAGGTACCTTGCATTATATTTTCAAGCTTTAGTTATTAAAATTTAAAATTATATTAATGATTGAACTGCGTTGAAAAAATAATATCGTAATATTAGGTACCTACTATCACCATAGAAATTGGACCGACGTCGAGGCTGGTCTAGGTAAGAGCAAAGCGGAAAAGTCGGAATTGGGGATCACTTCACCGATAAAGTAAATATTAAAGTTTAAATTTTTTATATAATATTACCTTTTCAATTGAGTCGAAATTATAATAACAATTTATGATTCGTTGCAATCGATATCGATGTGTGGGCGAAGAAAATACTACTATTGTATCAACATTTTTGAATTGCATTTTTATTAACATAATATGCATAAATACATAATATATTCTACTTCAAGTTTTAAGTAAATATGCATTAATAAAACAGAAAACAAAATGATCATTTTAATTTTTAGTTATGTTCAAATTCATTTTGTAATTATATTTCTTAGATTTTCTGGTTCTTACAATGTATTCGTATCTTAACACCCCCCCAACTCCTGCTGTGTCTTTTCTATAAGCACATTGCTGTACAGAGTATTGCATTTATGGCGAATTCAAGGCTATTACTCATACTTAACCGCAGAATTATTACTTATTTCTTTATCAGCATAGATTTATTAACAACAATATAGTGTGTATTATTTGTGTTATATTTTAAACTATGTTATTATAATTTATAGTTAGTATTTGGGCTGAGGACCACTATTTTTTTTTCATATTTGTCTAGGACGGTAGCAGAACAACTTTTGTGAGTGATCTTAAAATTAGGTACATGTTATATAATTTAAAATTGCATTTTGCATATCCATATCATCTATTATTGACAATAGATACTGCATATTGTTATAAATGCATTTTGGAGTGATATATTTAATCAATAACATTTAGAGCATACATATTTTGTATTTTTTTACTTTTAGAGTAAGCGTTGAACAAGTTTGGAAACACAAAAACACATTTGGAAAATTATCGATACAAAAATGTCCATACTATTTCAATGTTCCGAGATCGTATCCTGACTGATATGACATAACCACTGCAGATAACACCTACACGCGTACCTATATTATATGCTCAACGCGTGTAGGTTTAATTAACTTAAGTTGTCCCGTGTCCGTGATAATTTGTCAAATTATTATCGTGCGCGCCCGCTAAGTATTTTTGTTACGTTTAAACTACTATGTCGACAACAATAAAGAAATATAGTTTTTATTCAATTAACTTTTTAAAAAAATATGTTATTCCATGTGTAGGTTAAAAAACTCGCTAAAATATAATCGTTTATCATATTTTTATATCAAACGATGAACATCGAATACATTTCTTAGGCCATATTTTAAGTGCATAAGTGCAGCGCATATACATCTTGTAATTTTTAAGTACCTACTAGAAGTCCTCAGCCCTATATAAAGTTATTAAATTATTGATAACAATTTTTTTTAGCTCTATCCGTTCATCGCCTACTTTGGTACTCAAGCTTAATTGAAAAAAATATATACTTAAGCGACGAATTTTGGAAAGCCATATTTATAATATTATATATCGAATAACGAAGAAAAAAACGAATGTCACAAAACGATGTAAAAAGACGAATAATTATTGTTATTTTTTTTTTAATTATCATTATTATTATTATTATCGTAGTAAGTATTTAATATTTTTGTCCAGTGAATTGCCATGCCTAACGCATACGTTCAATGTTTTTTTTTTCCTTGGTACATTCTGTATAGAGCATATCAAACGACAAAACACGACGTCGGCGATATGAGGTTCTCGTGAAAAATCGACCACCCTGGATGGTCGTGGACACCTGACTTGGTTTACGACTTCAACACAAGTCTATACTAGGTGTTACCATGGTGGTCGTAAATTCGGGCGAGCGCAAGCAGGTTCACAAGTGTTTAAAAAAAAAATTCCATATGTACATTTTATAAGTTTTCACTTTTTTTTCAAATGACTGCAAAACATATCAATTTCATATTACGAAAAACAATATTTTTCAGAGTATTTCTTCAATGTGTGTAAATCGAATTTCTGACGAGTAGGTAATTCAGATAAGTCGTAAATATATTGTTAGAGTAGTGGAGATACATTTCGGGAGGTATCCTTAACCCTTTAAATCTTAATATAAGATGTACTTATATACAGTTATACTATACCTAATTCTGGTTCAAAATGTGATTTTATACATCAGAGTACTCCGAAAAATATTCGTCTTCGGAATACGAAATTAAAAATGTATAATGTCATTAAAATAACATAAAATACATCCATTTAAAAAAAATTATATTTTGAACGACTTCAAATTAAGTAAAAAAAAAATGTTCAATAGTTTTCGAAATATCAAATAATGAGTGTCTCAGGTTAAAAAATTCACCCCGGAAACATATAGCCGTGTGTGCATAATAAATTGAACTCATTTTATACCAATTTGTTTGACGATGCCTAAGGCCTTGGCACTTTTACCTCTCTGGATGCCTCTGACATGCCTAAAACCGTGGTTGCATTAGTGTTACGTGTGAGATCGACCTGACGTGAAACGAGATCGAGATCGGTTCGCATAAAATAGATCAGTTTCCGATATGGATCGCTCGAAATGCAGAAGGTACGGTTAGATTACACTTAACTGCAGTATACTTGCGGCTTTATTACACTTAACTGCAGCTGCAGTACACGACCCAACGATGATTGTAATAATAATAACATAAAACGACGCAATGTAATGCCAATCGGCGGGGCCCACGCGTTCTTTACAGTTGCGAAGAATTAGAATATTCGCTGACGGAGAAAGCCATTCGGTGAAATCTACGAGCCACGAACGTGTAAGGTTTATAACAAATTATCCATTATTATATTGTCTTAGTGTCTTAGTGTCTTATCGTAAAAAAATTAGCAATTTTTTACGTTACAATCGCACATCGTGTATGCACTATGCACCCACATACTTCAAGTCCGCAGACGTTATGTAAATAATACCTA